TATATCATAAGTGTCATAATCTTGTTTATTATCAGTGTTTAAAAGAATCCAAAAATTGGTCATCATGCACCATTTATGTCACCTGACATTTCAATACTAAGGTTTTCTTACATTCATTGAATAACTTAATAAAACCTCTTGAGGAACATTTAGTTACTGGTAATTTGAAAACAGTTTGGATGGTAAATATTTCTTCACACAAATTATTATTTAGTTTGTACTGTATCAGATGCTGATTCAAACTTTAAAAAAAGACTTGTTTTCTGTTACTTGTGGCTCAGGCAAAGCCTATGAAGATAGAAAGTTGGTTGAATTAACTTAGATTTTATTCTGCTTGATTTCTTTATCATCTAGGTCCCAATTGTTAAACTCACAGATGCCAAGACAGATGTGAAAGTAGATATCAGTTTCAATATGAACAATGGAGTGAAAAGTGCCCAACTAATCAAAGTAAGTTTTCTAAGTTAGTGCTTGTCAGTAGTTTCAATATAACTTAATATTTGTTCAAGTTAAATGTTGGGAGTGATATCCACATTTCAACAATCTAAGATTTGCAGTAAGAAACAACAAGCACTATTTTTATATTTTATGTAATATATATATAACTTCTGAGTTTAGATTAATATTTTCAAATTTCAATTATCCTTTTATGTACCAAATGCTACAAAAGAAGGTATGTAGACTGTGGCTCAGATGCTTGTCAGTTTTCTTTATATATGCACTGTGTAAGCAAAGAAAAATAATTTACATCAAAGTCTGATTAGAAATGCATTCACTTTAAAGGCCTCACTTTTCATTCTAATTTTGAAAATCTGTTCTTTCCAGGATTTTAAGAAAAGATTCCCCATCCTTCCCAAGCTGGTGTTAGTCTTGAAGCAGTTTCTTCTTCAGAGAGATTTGAATGAAGTTTTTACGGGAGGAATTAGCTCATACAGTCTAATACTTTTAACAATCAGTTTTTTACAGGTGTGTGCATTCATCACCTTATTTTGTTAATGTTCATTTAATAACTTTCATGATAGTACTTATTGAGCAAACAGGCCGTCTTGATTTCCTGTTGTTACTTTTTAATAGAAAAAATTATTTCATCCTCCTAAAAAAATCTGGATGACATCAGAAATATAATTTAATATTTATTAGATAGAGAGAAAAAATATAAGTAAACTAAGCACCTAGGATTCCAAGGGTACAATTACCTGCCGATGTTAATTTTTAGAACTAATTTAGAGTTAATACATACTGAAAATGGTTTGATTAGAGAAATATGAAGTGTACAATTACAAAATTAGAGCTATCTTTTCTAAATGGAAATAAAAAGATAACATTATTCATTTGTTCAGAAAACTACCCTGTATTGTACTTGAACCCAGGACTGTCCCTTCAGACTAATGTGTTGGAATCATTACCATTGAACTAACAACTCCCAAACAGAATTCTCCACCATTAGTGTTATAATGTCACACCCACTCAAGACTTCAAAGTAGATTTCAGGCTGACAGCACACACGGTATCACGTGCCATTCCTAGGCCTGTGACACTTTGATTTACTTCAAACTAGTACTATACAAAGCCAATCATCTTGACTATCCATGTACTTCAGCTTGTCACCAGGGATGGGAGATTCCATTGTTAATCAACCATCTACTCTACAGCAATAAGAATACAAACAGTTTCCATTTTATGCTGCTGTAATTCTACCGTCCTTTTTATTTCACAGTACTAGTCACGTCTAAACTTTCTGGTTTACAATACAACTTAATAGTTTTAATTGGAAACTTTCTGTTGCTTTGCTTTTGGAGCTCAGGAATTATACCTATCCTCTTTTTCTTGAATTTCCATTGTTAAAAATAGGTAGTAACTAGAAATATTCTTTTTTTCATTCAGTCTTAATTCCATCTATTTCTTGGGTCAGTCATTCGAGTATTTTGTATTTAGACAAGAGTATTTACACTTGGGTGACTGACCCTGATAAGCATGTTTGGTGATGGGAATTTGAACCTGTGACCTGCACATTGATTGTCAAGAACCCTAACCACCAGACCATGCCAAGCCCAGTAACTAGAAATATTGTAGCATATCAAATTTTTCTGTAAACTTTAATCATTTTAGTTGTAGATGGTAGTGTTCAGAGAGTTTGCATTAATGTTCATTGTAAAATTAAGATTTTAGTTTTGCAGCATGGTGTGTAACAATTAAAATTTTTATATTTGGAATCTATTTTCTTTAGTTACACCCCACATATGACCCCACCTGTCCCACAACAAATCTGGGTACTTTACTTATAGAATTCTTTGAACTGTATGGTCGACATTTCAACTACTTCAAAACAGGAATCCGTATCACAGATGGGGGAGCGTATGTGGCCAAGGAAGAAGTGCAACGGGGAATGTCTGATGGTTCACGACCATCAATATTATGTATAGAAGATCCCCTAACACCAGGTAAGCCATTATTAGAGAGAGAGAGCTCTAAAATAGAGTAGAATAGATAAATTTTATCAGTTAGTTTTTATGTAAATGAAGAAACACTTAAATGCTGTACTCATACGAGTGGAATCAATCTTTGGTGGTGGTGTTTTGTTATGAAAAAAAGTTAACCATAGCTTTATTAATATTGCATTTTACATTTTCCTAGTATAACGCATCAAAACACAGTATATACAGTTGTATCTTTCAACCAAATGATACATACAAGTATAACTATTACTTTGGAACATGTACACATTATAAATAAGGTATCCTCTCAGTTTAGAACATCAACACAATTTATAGAAGTGGAACTCAGTTTGGAACAGCAACATAGTTTGTAGAAATAGACAAAAGCTGTTTCCTAATAGTTGCAATATACATATTATATTAACTGCTCTATAACTCAGTTAAGCATAATCCAATTTTATCTAGATACTGTATATAAGAACCTCATTCAGAAAATGTAATCACTTTTTCTCAACAAAGCATTTGGCATGGGTTTCTATAAACAGGAGTATTGTGATTATTCACAATTTGCATTGCGACTTTGAATGTGGTTGGTCTTATTACGGATATATCTTTGTATATATTTATAAATTACTTTAGCAACAAAAAAATGTACTGACAGAAATTAATTCCTGTCCTCCACCTCTGCTATCTGGTAATTGTCAATGGCCAGGGGAGGGGGTCACTCTCAGTTGAAGCTGTCCATGGTATGATTTGTTGTGAGATGGAGTCATATATGCAGACCGAGGGTATCTCTTCTGGAGGTTCTGAAGTGGCTTTTGCAAATGGCCCGGGACCAGCTGGGCAGAATTTAGACTATCTTTTTCCAGCTCTTTCTTTTACTAGGTCGGCCTCAACAGAGGATCATCTTGATCGGCCACCTCCAGCCCCTTTTATTCAGTTGGTTACTTGGGTTTGAAAGGTTTTGAGGGTCTCTCTTATTGCATTTGACTCTACTCCTTCCTTGTTGGCAGAGAGGACAGCAAGTAACTACTTGGTTTTTCCTTCTCCTCCTGATATTGTTGTTCATGGTGGGAAATGTGCCACTCAGATACATGATGAGATAGCTATGCCTTGTCCCCCACATTTATTGGAACAGCATGCTTTGGCTTATCATCGCCAGGAAAGGGTATATTTAGATTCTCAATGAATGGACCCCTTTTGGACCTGTGGGGATCTAGTCTGGAACCTATGATCACTTTAAACAGATCCCAGTTTTCTCGGATTTGTCTTGCTCTCACGACTGTCCTAAGGTATTTATCTTCAATCCAACTTTTATCGGAAGCCTATCAACATTACCCTCAGCAATTTCAGGAGGTCTACCTCAGTCACGTTGTCTTCAGTTCATTCTCTGGTTTCCTGGCTGGTTTGTTGGCTTCTTGCCTTTCTGGTGCTAAGTTGGGAATGTTGGCTTGTAGTGTTTCCCTCCTTCGGTTCCAAGGTCTATTGGTTCCCATAATAGAATCTGTCCATATTCTTGAGAATCTTTGGCATGAGTGAACCATTGACAACAGCGTTGGTGACTATCCTTGGGTGGGGGAGCACAATTACATCACTTTATGGACATCTGGAGTTCTTTCACCAGGAATCCATGGATACTCTATGTTCTGGCTTCAGGGTTGGTCAGTCAGTTTACATCACCTCCATTATTATCTGCACAACCTTTTGCCTTTTCACCTCCAACAGATCCTTGGCAAGATCCAGAGAGAGTTGTTAGTCAAAAGGGCAGTAGAGAGGGTCGATCCCATTCTTCCGGGATTTTATTCCCATTTATTCGTTGTACCCAAGAAGACAGGAGATTGGCATCCAATCATTGATCTGTCTCGACTCAACCAATCTTTAGATACTCCTTGCTGTAAAATGGAATCTTTTCTCAACCTACATTGGCACTTTGCGCCAGGACTCTGGATGAATAAGTTGGATGTTACCAACACTTATCTCCATACTCTCATAGCAGAATCTTCCCAGAGGTTTCTTAGATTTATGCACAAGTGTCAGGTGCTGCAGTTCCTTTTGGTCTTGCATCAGCACCTTGTGTCTTCTGCAGAGTTGTTTGAGCTTTTTCTCGTCATCTGCATTGCTTGAGCCTCTACACGCATCATTATATGGATGACTGGCTTTTTTTTGGTACCATCTCATCAATTAGAATAAATCTCTCAGAAGCCACAAAAGCAGGCTTCCTTATCAGACTGGAGAAATCCATTCTGTCACCGATGCAATATCAAGTTCATCTGGGTGTGTTTTTCAATATTCACTTAAGTCATGCTCAACCAACCCCTATCAGGCTTCAAGCCATGGAAACAGCCGTTAGGCTTTTACTTATGTCTCCTTCTTCTAGTGTGTGGATGGTACTCTCTCTTTTGGGGATGTGGGCATCCCTCTAGCCTCTCATTCCTTTGGGACAAGCACATATGAGGCCCATTTAGTGATCAATGTGCGACCAATGGATCATGCATTCTGATCCTTTGGATCATCCTGTCTCATTACTAAGGATCAACATCTTCGATGGCAAATGGTGGTTGTATTGGAACAACACTACTATTGGGGTACCCATTCCACCACCTCGTCCCGAGATCCATCTGATCACACATGCATCTCTTCAGGGATGGGGAGCTTATCTTCAAGTTCAGGAGTTTCACGCTATTTGGACGGAAGACGAGTCTAACCTCCATATAAACGTTCTCGAACTCCTTGCAGTTAAGCAGGCAATGGTTCAAGGTCTGTCTCTCTTGAAGGGAAAAATTGGCATGATACATTCCAGCAATTCCATGGTGGTATCTCAGATTTCTCGTCAGGGAGGCACACAAGATATTTTTCATACCTTGGATCTTCTCTTCTGGGCTCATTCCCATATCTTTTAGCATGTCATGTTCCAGGAGAGATGAATTTAATTGCAGATCACTTGTCTCAACCCAACCAGATTCTTCAGATGGATGGATGCTACATCACACGGTTTTCAGTGAATTTGCTCTCAGTTTGTGTCTCTCATGATCAATGCCTTTGCAACTCATTGATATTCTCAACTGCAGTTGTTTTGGTTTTTAGTACCTCATCCTCAAGCATTGGCAGTAGATGCATTCAGTCAGGACTGAATAGGTTTACATCTGTATGCCTCTCCCCTGATTTGGCTATTGCCCCGAGTTCTGACTATGGTTTGTTCCACTCCCTGTCAAGTTCTCTTGGTTGCACCATATTGGCCAGCTCAAACGTGGTTTACAATTCTTTGGTATCTGCAGGAATGTCCACCTCTACCTCTTCCACACTGGCAATCTCTGTTGAGATAACATCAATCATATATTCTCCACCCAGACTTTCGGAAACTCGATCTTCGTCCTTGGAATTATGCGGCCCTTTGCCCGACATAAGGGTTTAACTTCTAGGATTTCTCTGTATTTAACTAAATCTCTCTGTAGGCCAACCACAGCCATTTATCAGAGAAATAGGATAATTATCATCAGTAGTGTATTAAAATGAATTTAAACCCTCTTCATCCTAAAGTATCTACCATATCCCATTTTATGACTTTGGTATTTGAGAGTGGTCTTGCTTTGTCTATGGTGGCTTTATATATGGCATCCTTATCCACTATTTTTCATTATTAAAAATATTGGAAGGTTTTTCAATCCTCAGTACTATTGGGTCTACTCAAATCCTTTCATATTCTTCGACCCAAGCAACCAGTTCAATTACTGAATTGTGATTTTACAGTTGTCTTTCTAATAACACATCAAAATACAGTATATACAATTGTATCTTTCAATCAAATGGTACATACAATTATAACTATCACTAACAAGTATAACATATACACATTATAAATAAGGTACCCTTTCAGTTTAGAAGCTCTCTGGAAGACATTGTGCGGGCTAGTATGTGAACTACTCTTAATACTTTCCTATCTCATTACTTACATGATCTGACAGTTTCCTCTTCTGAGGGTTTTTAACTACCCCTGGTAGCTATTTTGACCACATCTGTTAGATTTTAACCACAGGTGAGTATTTTCCTCAATCATATACTCTTTTATTTCCAGGGTCCCTTTATTTTTCACTGGATCCCATCCTGTGGCGAGTTTTGCATAGGCAGGTATGCTTTCTCTTTTCAATTCCATACTTTCACGATAATTACTACAGGTTGCAACAGGCTCTGTCAAAATGGGATGTTCCATAACGCCATCAAGTTGCCCACTGGATGGTATTACCTTGTTATTATGGACTGCCATTCATGGGTTATCATGAGTAAAACTAAAGGCAATCCTGCTCGTCCCTGCTAATCTTCAGGTTGAATAAATTGGGGTCAGTTTACTTTTAAAAATGTAGGGAACTTGTTTCACCTACTGCACTGTTCTCAGGTCTCCCCAGTGCTTATTACTCTCCACCACCACCACCCGACTTTATTATTAGTGGAGCTCAGGAGTCCTTACCACCTCTATTTTGCAGTCGCTGGGGTGGTGGACAGAGGCTTTTCCTCCAGAGTGTTTGAGTGTGTTCCTCCACTCTCAGAGAAGAGGGTGAAGTTGGGGACCATCCTATTTGGGGCCCTGGATGTTTTTCCCAGATGTCAGTAGGAGTAGCACCAACTTCCACAGGAGCCTACTCGTAATTCCAATTCAGATTTGACACGAAGCTATCTGGTTGGGGGGATGTGCATTGCCCTTCTATTTGATCAATGTTGGTTTTGTATATTGTTCATGGAAGAAGGTCCACTATCTTCTCATAATTCCAATTGTGAAGTGGTCCACCGTAGGTCCTTGGTTGAGCACAGGTTCAATGTCCTCTCCATAATTCCAGGGGCAAGCAGAATACTCCTTGCCCACTTGGTTGGGGAGTGAGGATGAATGTTCATAATTCCAGACCGGATGAGTTCTGTTCCTTTGGTTGAGTACGGCATACAGGATCCTGTCATTCTAAGCCTGGGGGTATTGCCTTTTAGACTTCTTCAGGTAGAGGAGAAAGTTTGTCCACTTTGGTGTTGCTTACTTTCTATCTGGTTGGGGCTGGCCTATACTGACAATTACCCATATTCTATTTCACCTTTAATATAGGAACCGAGTTCCAGGTGAAGAACATACCTGTGCTAGATGTAGTGCAGGTTCCCCTACTCTTGTACCATCTTTATCTTGGTACACTCCTGTTTTATAGAAACTCTTTCTGTATGGTTCATGCCAGCATCAGCCCCTCCACCTTCTCAATGTGGGATTCTAGCTATAGTGTCAGCAGAGGTAAGTATGTTTTGGAAGTTAACATTTTCCTAAACTGAAAATGTATTTCCAATAATACTTACCTCCGCTGATGCTCTCCTGCCCTAACTCCCCACTAAAAGTTAGTTTATGTCACGAAAAAGTGATTACATTATCTGAATGAGGTACTTATATACAATACATAGATAGTTTGCCAAGAGCATTTGAGTGGGGTATAAAAGACTGGAGTAAATGTGTTGAATGCTTAGATGGGCAAATAGTGGAAACCATGGAGATCGAGAAATAGCTATAGTGTCAGCAAAGGTAAGTATTATTGAAAATACATTTTCAGTTTAGCAAAATGTTAACTTTCTTAACAGTATAAATTATTGTTGTACTTATTCAGTCACATTCACAAACCCATTATTATAGTTGATTACTCATAAATTGTAATTGTGAAGTAATAACTATAAGCATTGTATTATTTAATGTTAAATGTATAATTTATTACTTTACGTATTTGATAACTTCATTCTGATACAGATAACTAATAATCATTACAGTTATTCAAGTATGTTGATAATCCAGGAAAAATATTTCAAACCTCAGTGTTGAATTTTCTACTTAAAAAAAAAGAAATGCATGTGCACAACTTAACAGCTGGTAATGAAAAGTTCATTCTAATAGCATTAACATAAATTATTGATTTAATACATTTTTCAGCTTACCATAAATGGATTACTATTCGTGCATTTTTAATTTGGCAAATAACCATGGTCTGCTCTAAAAAAGATTGAATATTGTTTTAGCAGTCATTAGAATAATGGTCAGTTTTGATTAAAATTTTTCCTGTATTGATTAATTTTTTGAGTATGAAACTTCAAGTTTTGTATTAATTTGTTAATTACTTTCAGGTTGTATTAATTAAAGTTCATTTTTTTATTGTATAGAGGTACGTATGAGAGAAACCTTCAATCAAAACATACAAATAAACCATTAATCTTTTTTTTTTTTTCCTTCTCCTCAGTGTTGTAAGTAGGCCTAAAAAATTCATTCTATAATTAGACAACTGCCAACTTAAATTTTACAGTTTAATTTTATCAAAAATAAGAAATTTAATTATAAAAATGTATTAATGAGATTCAATTTTGAATACAGCTTTTATGGAATTTTTGTAACTTCGTCAGAAGTTGATGTTAATGAAATAAAAAAAAATTAAATACCATTCATCATTAAATTCCAGGGAAACATACTGTTTATTTTATGAACTTATTGTTAAAAGTCTGTGGGTTTTGTCTGTGTTTTCCAGGAAATGATATTGGAAAAAGCTCTTATGGTGCTCTAAATGTTAAAAGAGCATTTGAGTATGCTTATCTTGTCCTCACCAAAGCTGTTTATCCCCGTCCAATACATTGGTTAGATACTAAGCACAGGTTAGTATATTATTTTAAAATTTACTATTTTTTTGTGTTTTTTTTTTCATGTAGTGTGCACTCTCAATATTTACTTGTAATCTTTCTAATACTTACTATTTATTTATGATAATTTTCCATGCCTGTCTTTAGAAGTTTATCTGCTTAACATTTCTTTTTTAGTCAGTCTCCATGTGTCACTTTTATTTTAACAACATTTCTTGACCATTTCTAAAGCAAAAACATCTCTTAACACCTTTTTACATAGTGCTCTTGTTTCCAGCCATGTTGCAACAGTACACTGAAAAATATTCAAAAACACTTCCCGGAAGCCAGATGACCTTCGTGACATCACTCAACTTCCTTTATGCATCACTCATTCAGTTACACCACTATTCCCAGTTTGCCCCTGAAGAAGAAAGGTCCACCTTTCAAAAGTGCTTGGGTTATAGAGTTTTATTGTTTTATATTAAGACTTCTTAAACCTACGTGTTTTCGTGACATCATTAATGTATGTCCACGTAAGGAACATGGACCCAATTTAAAATTTACTAGTTATTCAAAATGTATGTTTTTTTCTTGAAATAGGGGTCTACCAATAGGTAGTCACATTTTCAAATAAACTAACTTGTTAGTACAGTTGAAGCTGCCTATTGACAACCCTCTTGGTTCCCCTCCCCACAAAAAGTTACTAATAAGTGGTTGTTGCTATAAATAAGAGTGACTAGACCAGGAAGGTGAATCCACCAGGTGGAATAATACCAACACTTAAAGGATGGTTGTATAAAGATCTCATTGTTAAAGAGGCACAATGGCTATTGTGCAGTAATGTTTGAAATATTGGATGTCACTTAATGAAATAACTCGTCAAACATTAACAAGGATATACAACTGCATTTTCCACTGCTTATCATCAAATAAATTGTAAATGTTTTTCTGATTTTGGCTAGAATTTGGAAAACCTTTGATTTGTGAATAAGCCAGCCAAAATTGTCACAACTTTAGTTTCAAGACTGCTTTTATATCGGATACTTTTGTAAACAGTTAATCGTAGGATCACTACAATCTGTTATAACATAAATCGTGAGAAATATGAATTTTGCAAAGTTAATAATAAACCTGCATGATATGTTACTTTATTTGTATAGCTTAGGTAGTATTTAAATGAGACTAAACTTTATTAAATTTTTTAGAACTTACTAAGAAAGTCATCAGCCCAAACTCACCAGTTAAATAGTTTGTACTTTTTGCACACAAGGGATGTATCACAGTGATTACTAGTGTTACACATGGATGCATTTATTTTAATATCATTGTTGTCAGTGTTAGCTTGAGCAACTTTGTGTTGTTTTGTAATCATAGCTATCAGTTAAATTATTAGTTACTTGATAAACGATTTAAAGCAGTAGTTCTCAAACTTTAGTAACCCAAGGACCCCTTTTAATTTAACATTTTTTTAACAGACATCCACATGCATTGATGTTTTTGATTTTGAAAAAATATTTCATGTACATGAAAAGTTGCATTCCAAAATTAAATGTTTTCTTCCATAAATCTTTTTTTTTAATCAAATTTCAAACATGACTCTTGGATACCAGTTTGAGAAATGCTGGTTTAATGTACCATCTGACATTTGTTAAATCTGTTATAGTTATGTACAATGTCATTCTGAATGTTTTCCTTAGCTTGCACTGGCTTATACGAGTAACAATGGCTATTTCACTATCTGACATGCATTTCTTTGTTATGAATTAGCATACTGGGAAGGATTGTCCGTGTAACCGACGAGGTAGTAGAGTATCGACAGTGGATAAGTGAAACATTTCCCCTCAGTGAACGTCATTCTGAAATAATTTTAGACTCTCCTCCTGTGTCCCCAAAGGTGCAGGTTTCCATTCTTCACCAAACACTCGACAGTGTGAATAATCGTAGAATACAGTAAGCATCTTCTTGCCATTTAAAGTATTTAAATCAACAAGAGCATTTCATATAAAAGTTGTGGGTTATTCTGAAGTTTTAAATTTAAACATAATTCAGCACAAATGAAATAGTAAATGTTTTTTATGACACTTTTCCAACATTTATTTTGTTAAAGAATATATAGATAATTTTATTATATAGATTTGCATTTTTCATATCCAATACAGGGTTAAACTATCTATTATTAAAAATGTTTTTAATTCCTTTCAGAAAATTTGAAACACAAGGGACCAATGACAATGAACGATGCCCTGTTGTATACCTTGATAGTCAGTCATCTGGCTCTTCATCAGTATGTAGTACACCAGCAAGTTCTGGGTCCAGCATTAGCAGTGATACAGTAAGATTTTATAGGAGTGTCTTACAACCACTGTGTATCAAAACAAATAAACTATTTCCCATATTTTAAGCACATGTAATATTCAATTTATAAAATCAGAAATTTTGATAATTTACCTTTTAAGGTAATAAATGTAAAGATACAAAAAAACATTTTACAAACTTAATATATTTTTATATTGAAAATCTAATATTTTAAATATTTACAATGGTATACTGAAATGATAAAATCATTCTTTTGTGTAACATTCATCAACCAACACTTCTTGGTTACTGACTTTTTTTTTGGTAGGATTCTGAAGCCCTTGGTGACCCAGGTCAACAGCTTACCAACAGAACAAAACCTTCCCTTGGACAGCAGTTAGTAGGGAACCATATACTTCCTAGTCAGTCAGCCAAAGACACCAAGGGGCAGCACAATTGGACACCACAGCAAGCACAAGTCAGTAGAGGCCCTTTGACTAACACACAGTTTTTAGAAAAAGGTGAGAAGTCCACATTCCATTGGCCTAAGCAACGTCATTTATCAAATCCAGTTGGTGCTCCACACCAAGGTTATTCTTGTCCTGCCACACTTGGGAATCAGACAGGTTACTATGGGGGAGGTGGAGGACAGCGCTATCGTAGTTTCTCCAACAAAAGAAAGAAGAGTAACAACAAAAAAGATAACTGCAACAACTCAAACAAATGATCTCAATTTCAAGTAGAGCTTTTGTTACTGCCAAATTTCAATTGTTTATAGAAGAAAACACAGTGAAACATGATCAACTGCATAATTTTGACCAAATCTGAATGTTCCCAAGATCTATATAGTGGATCACCATTAAATAGAAAGGATTTGTGTGTGTGTGTATCATCAACATTTCTGTTAATTATTATCATCATCACAAAAGTAAAACTTCCTATACATATACAAAAACTGATACACCAAAGGTTACTCATCTCAGTTAACCAAGCATTATGTTTGATTCAGGTAATGTGTTGTTTCATCTTTGTTTTTGCACTTGCAAAATATACATATTTAGACTCCATAAAGTAACTGCTGTCTGTGTTACGTATCTACCATACTGTTAGTGGACTGATCTGATTCTGAATGTTTTTCTTAGGCATGTGAAATTAGATCGATAAAGATGCAGCAATTCACATGATAGAAGTGCTTTGAGATCCATTTTTTCCCTAAATATTTTTTTTATTTATACTCATCTGCTTAGTTGTGTTCATTTTTTTGTGTTTTTTGAAATTGTACATAGCCTGTATGTACATAAATCTGTAAATAATGCATTACAGAACATTCGTTGGATGACAAGGGATCTGTATTATGGTACACGTGCTTTAAAAAGAGCAAAATGTTTATACTCATTACTACACCTTAAAATATAGGGTGCACAAGCACTGGAGAAACATATAAATAACCAATTACTTTTCTCATTTGTTTTCCTAACATAAAACTATGTAAGAAAGCAATACAATAAAACAAAATTAAAGGAAACACGCAAGTTAAATTTAGCATTTTAAAATGCTATGACAAGAAAATATATATATGTATATAGATGAGATGCATGTATGGGTATAAAACGAAGACTTTGAAATAGGATATATATATATATATATATATATATATATAATAATAACTAGATTAACAAAGGGGGGGGGGTATACCTGAGATCATTTATGTATATAGATGAGATGCATGTATGGGTATAAAACGAAGACTTGAAATGGATATATAATAAATAACTAGAATTACAAGAGGGGGGGGGTATACCTGAGATCATTTATCATAAAAGAAAGCCCTTACTTAATTATTATCTAAAGTTTGAGAAAAAAAAAGTTATCAGTGTTATCTCAAAGTCATTTATCATAAAGTTGGTTGCAAATTAACTAACATGTGTTTGAATTTATTTTTTTAATTTATAATGTCAGTAAATTAACAACAACAAAAAAATTAACTCGCTCAGGTTTTGATCTTCATGATCAATATGTATTGAGCAATCTTTCAACCTCTTGTTTAGTCTGAAGTTGGATCCAAAGAAGGATTTGGAGTTTGAATAAATAAATATTGAATGTGAAAATAAAAACTTTTAGGTTTTAGTAATTGCTTGAATTATAAGAAAATATCTATCAGTTAGGTTTTCCACAGCAAAAATTCAGAACAGAGTACAACATGAACTAATCTAATGAGGGCAAATTAGAGAAATCTAAAGCAACAACAAAGAAAAGTCTAGAATTGTTTATCAGTAACAGAAGTTGTCTCCTGACACTAGTGAAAAATGAAATTTTAAATCAGTTATAGAACTGTTTTCAATACTTTTGTTCAATCTAGTTTTTCATTGCCATATGATGCATTTGGTTTCAAAATTGCTATTAGTTAGGGAATATTTCTTATTAAGTATTTTTGCCCTATGCAATGTGTGTAATCACTTTTTCTCGTAATAATTGAACAAGTATAAGTAGTCAAGGGGGGGGGTGGAGTTCATACTGCAACAGATGTGATTTCATTTATTTTCTCATTTGCATACTAGTAATGAAATAAAACCTTTTAATGATAATTATAGCTTGCTTTGCAAATGCTGTGTATCTTCTTTTGTTTATCAACAACATATGGTTTAAGTCAAATTAAAATTATTACTATTAATCATTATGTCTTGATTTATAGAATATTAGGTTATTTTACAGTGTAGAACATAATCGTATATCCACTCAGTATTATACAGAGAAGTGAAATGATTAAGTTTTAAGTAATATGCCTCATTTTGTTTTTGTGACCAATTATCCACTCATTATTTTGTAATATTATCACAAATGAAACTGTTCTTTCTTTTTTTATCCATGTCATAGCTGTACTAATATTAAATTGTTTACTGTAAAGCTGCCATTTATTATTTTGTTTCTTCACATAGAAAAAAAATATTTTAATACTTAAAGAAGAATATTGTGCATTTCTGCATATAAATGATACAAAAAAATTCTAGTGTTGTGGATATATAATTATGAAAAACCTTTCATTTTAATTCCTTGAGTATGTGCGATTTCCAGCCAAAGTAAAAATGATTTATTTGATTTTAATATATATATATATATGTGTGTGTGTGTATATATATCCTAAGCAGACCTAAGTCATGAATTCGTCTTTCATTTATAGCATTCCAGTAACTTGTGTTTGTCTATACCTGGAATTAACACGTATTATAATAAACCTAAAATTTAGCATTGATTGAAAATTAGTGCAAAAAAAAACTAAAATAAACTTGAAAACTACAAAAAAACTTATTTGGGTATGTTTTGGAAACAACTGTAGTATTTAAGTCTCCAATTAACTTTTTTTTTCTTGGTCTTCAGTATTTAACTAGAAATTATGTGTAGAATATTTTATTTCTCATGTATGGCAAACTCTCTTAAAAACTTGCACGTGTTAGTCATTTAAGTTGAGCTGACACAGATTAATATAATTTAAAAGCTACCCTGTCTTAAGTGAGCCAGTAAAGGCAAATAACACATGTTGAGAGTCTTAATTTATTACATTGAACCCTACATATGCTCGTAGGATAAACATTTTTTTTAAATATTTTATCTTCTTTGGATCTGAATCCGAGATGTATTACTCTTTTAAACACATGTATTTATAAATGTTGAAAAACACAGTGTGATTTATCAATCATGTTACTAACAGTGAATGTGGTGTTTCTAATGTCTTTTATTCACCACAGTAATGCAATGTTCAATCACATTTGTCAGCTAAAAACCTTTGAAAAAAATTACCTAATTCATTAGTGTGAGTTTTAGTAGTAATCAGGGGGCCTTATTATATCTGTGGATGAATGTACAGTTTGTTTTGTTTTTTTTATTAAACTTACTTTCATGCATATACCTTAAATTTGAGAGATGATGGTATTGATAAATTGCATTACTCAAAAATTCCATTCTTATTTAAATTTGTCACATACATATAAGTATTGGTAGTAACTAAAGTTTTATGTATAGCCAAGAATGTAATTTTGTTCTTATTGTTGTATAAAGATATTAAAATGTTCATTTCAAAAAAAAAACTAAGGACAAAAAAAAGTTGAAAAATACAGATTAAAAAAAAAGTCATCTTTGTCTCAAAATAGTCCATTTGTGCTATTTTACACTGTTTTTAACTTCATTATCTGGATCAGCATTTCCCAAAAGTGTGGTCCACGACCTGGTGCTGGTCCCCAGAAAACTAAAAAAATTAAATTAAATTTTTCACTGCCAACTGCCATTTTAAACTTTCTCGAAGCCTTTGTTGTGTATTAAAGAAAAATATAATTAAGCCAGTTAATAAAATTAATATTTTCATTTCATCTAAGTAGGATTTCTCAGTATTTCAATTAAGCTAATATAACAGTAAGGAAAAGTGAAAGTTTGTACTTGAGGCTATAAAAACTATACAGTTCTCAATTAGTGCAAAGGTAAAAATTATTTTGCGATGGTCACAAGTGTAGAGAAATTATGCACACTTCCTTTTTTTGTGTAACCTAAAATCAGCACACACAACCATGCCACTCCTTAGCACCATGTTGGTCAGTCACTCTTATCTGGTAATAGTTATCTAATTCTATATATTCTTTGATAGGTTAAATCAAATTGCAATTGTCCTTGTTTGAAGATCTTTACTTGCAGTGTGAAGTATTATCCAAAGTTTTTATTATCTTCTATAACCATATTACATTAATTAGATAGAAATATTTGTGCACTTTACTGGAAGGTAACCCTGACTTTTAGGCAGACAAAAATGTAGTTATAGCATTACATACGAAATCAACATTTGCATGGATTAACATTCTACACTGAACTGAACTTATTCATTACGAAACAAAAGAAGTGGAGTTTCAGATAGTTCGACAAACACAATGTTATCTGAAGTGATGAATCATTAATTTATGTAGTCGCTGTCAGCCAGATTGTGTTGTGTAATCAACTACTGGCAGATTTTTTTTTAGAAGCATCTTTGGATAGTGTAGTCACAATAAAGAGCCCATAAATGAAAAAACATTCGTCTACCAAAACTGAGATTTAATGAATAAATTGTAAATCCAATATTAAAATTTTGAGATTTATCGGTTACTTTCATGAAATGAAGAATTGCTTATTGAGACTTATGCTGTTAAAAAGACAAAATACCGCTAACACTAAGTTTAATAGCAGCCTTAACATTATTGGCTGACAAACTTTCACTAATGTTGAATACCATCTCAAAATTAAGTTGTGGTAAAAATGCTAATAAGTATTACACTTCATATTTTTGATTAAACCATAGGGAGCATAAATTCATATTGACCATTTATTTATGTAAAGAAACATTTTATCCTTAAAACTAAAGTAAAATAGTGTTGGGAGTTTTTTTATTTCAAACCAAAAGACATGATATAGTCAGGGTAAGTGTCCACTATGTACGAAAAGTATTTGAAACAACAAAATCTTTTGAGTGCAATATATCGATAGTTAAATAGTCGTCACAGCAGGTAGTACTACAATGTCTGAGGTTTAACAAAAGCAGTCCTTTATCATTATGTAAATCTAGTTGGTGAATTACCCATTGAGTTGGAAGCCCATATAATATCAAAGGTATGTTGATTATACTTCTCTCTTTAGTGAATTTCAACATATGAATTAGTTTTACAATATCATAATAATCAACATGAAAATGTCACATTTATTTTCGAGCATCAACTTGCTTTTCATGATACACTTATTACATAATAACAATTGTAGTTTTGAATAGTGTATAATTAGAATAGTTTTACAGGCATGTTTAACATAAGTATAGCTAAAATACTAATTTATCATGCCTATAAAGTAAATGGCACTTGTGAATTAAACAATACTAAAATATTTCATGATTATAAAGTCAACAATTTTGATGTTCTAAAACAAATAAGTACTAAATGTGAGAAACCAACTTTTAAAAACTAAGCACTGTGTTCATTATGAAATATTAAAACAATTTCCCAATACCGTGAGATGAGACCCATATCGTAATTAATGTACATCAATTATGATGGTAAAAAAGTATATTATTAACTATTTACTAACTAAAATCATGTATAATAAAGGCTAACCAAAAATCATTTAAGTTATTTTTTTGATGTGTGGAAATACTGTTTGGATAAGATTCTTTTTGTTAACCTTTCCCATGACATTCCTGGGAAGTTCTGGAACACACTCTAATACAGAAGGAATAGCATAGGGTGCCACTCTATCTTTGCACCAGTCACGGAGATCTGAAAGTACCAGGGAATCATATTTGTTTGCTAATACAATGACAGCACCAACCTTCTCTCCCCATGTTATATCTGGAAGCCCTACAACTGCACAATCTTTGATGTTAGGATGTGCCAAGAGATGGCGTTCAACCTCCAGTGCACTGATCTTGTATCCTCCACTTTTGATTATGTCATAGGAGGTTCTTCCAAGAATCTTGTACACACCATCAATATACTGGACAGTGTCTCCTAAAATACAGAAGAACTATGAACTAACCATAATTATACAGTTTTTCATGCTTGTAACTATTGGTATCTTAACTTAAATGTTACTCTCTTTTTTTCAATTATAGACCAAGCTCAAAAGCTATGACTCCATTGTAATTTTAAAACAACTTACTCTTTTTTTTTATTATTCATATACATTAATTATATTCTGAAATAGGGAAAAAGTTCAACTTTGTCTCCTTTGACAACTTGTTTTTCGGAAACGCAAGACAAAATTTAAATTCTAACAAGTACATAAGATACTGTATTTGACCTACTGTCAATCTGAATATTTCATCTTAATAGGTTTAAAAAATTCCCAGTTATCCCTTTTAAAATGTGATATTAATTTCATGCACATATAAATGAGAACACACTGATATTATGCTACACTTGTGTAACAATTTTATTCCTTTTAGAATATAGCCTATTTTGGTATTATTATCCTACTTAAAACAGCTTATTGTGATAAGTTTTTAATCATCAGGCTAATAAAGAATGATAAGATTCCAATTATTAACAGTTCTCAATATGATGTAATGCTCCAATGCAGACACTACATCATAAAATAAGGTTATTAGACTGTTCAAGTTTACTGGAATTATGTACAACTTGCCTATTCATAAGATTTTCTATCTCAGCTATAAATTAAGGTTGATACTTTTAAAATTTGCAGACATTTCAGTATTTCTTTACTAACTTGGAATTTGAAATTAGTATACATGTAGTTAATTATCACATGTTTAAAACTAGAACAAAGGTTATATTGTGCCAGTGCTCTGTTGGAGGACGAACTGATGATAGCACAGTAGTTAACGGTCAGTAATTAACTATTTTTACCTACCAGCTTGAAACTTTTAAACTAACTTCTTTATAAATTAATCACTAATTTATATCTGATATTTTCTTATTCATGACAAACCAATTCAACTGTGAGCTGTTAAAAAGTGGCCACGAAATAATCATTGCAACTTTTTCTCACCCGTTTGAAACCATTTATCAGAGGTAAAAGCTGCTGCCATAGCATCAGGTCTATTCCAGTAACTTTTAAATACACTTGGTCCTCGTACCAGAAGTTCTCCAATCTCTTGCTCTCTTCCTTTAGTCTCGTACGTTCGATGAATATTTCCTTCAGCAATGGTGTCGTAACCAGTAGGAGAATAAACATTTTTTACAGAAATTCGAACTTCAACTCCTGGTAATGGATTACCAACACTGCCTTAGAAGAAAATACATACCTTTGTTTAATGATGAAAAAACCTACAACTTCAACAGCAAACATTCACTTGATCTCATAAAGGTAGATAATTAGTATCCTTAATTTGTTGAAATTTGTAACACAAACTTCAAAAAAAATTATTTACGGCCAAAATCGACAGTTAATTGTTTGGAACACATGCTCCAGTAGCTAAAATTTCTAAGTATCAGCTTCAGTTTGAGCCAAGATTATTGATTAAATTCTCAACCAGGGTAGAATTCTGGACATCCTGCTTCGTTACAAAGACACTCGATTAGAGTTTTTTTTACATTCCATCTAAGATGGGTGAATTGTAAATTAACTGAAAAGTGTCTATTGGCAATCACAACAAAGATTATCAAGGCTTATGAAGCCAAGAAATCTGTTTTAGTTTGTGCCATAGACATTGCCAAGGCATTTGATAGCATCAATCATACAGAAACATCTATTTGGGATTTGAGCTCTGGTGGTTTAGTTGATAAGTGATTTAATCATCAGGCTAATAATAACTACTTTAAACTAATCAAATTATTCTCATGAGACTTGAATAGTTATAAAAACTGAAAATACAAACACTACTTTTTGATTATTTTTCAAGAGTTGTAACACTAACCAATTAAGTTGAACAACCTTGGATTAATTGAAAATAATGAGAAATCAGAAATATTTCAACTACTTGGATAATTGAAATAATCAGAAACACTAATTTCAAACAGTTGATAATTTTCATGACATTAATCGACTTAATCATAATTTCAGTTGATCAGTTATTTTACATAACGCTAATTGATGTAATCAATACTAATAGGTAATCAGTTATATCAACCCTTTGCATCTGGGCCTGGTTCTTTTGCGTATGTCACAATCTTTTACAGTGTTATATTCAAAATTTAATTACATAACTTTATTATCAATTTGAGTCAATAAACTTAATATTAAAACTAATTTATATTTCAACTTTATATATTATCTACATTTTAACATCAAAAAGAAATATTAAAAGAATTCTCAATCTTAATTTTTCTGTGTCACATGATGCATCTAATTTCTAATTTATCCTTTTCAGAATTTTCTAATATCAAAAATAGGCTTCTGTAGTTTCCAACCAATCAGAAACACAAACTATACATAATTACAAGCAAAAATCTACAATTTAAAGCTGTTGTCTTGATTTGTAAGATATCAATAAATTTGTCAAGCTCATCAAAGATAGAACTCCCTTCTCTCTCTCTCTCTCTCTCAGACTTCTGAATTTGTTTGCTAATCAACTTTACATGGCTGATGGAAATATTTATAACCAAAAGATGGTTTGTTGTTTGGTTTTTTTATTGTTAAGCACAAAAAATGAGCTATGTATGCTCCCTGCAGTTACTGAAACCCAGTATTTAGAATTATAAGCCTTCAGACTTACCACAGAGATACTGGGGGACCCAATAGAAATATAAATCTTACATGTCATTATTAAGTTTTCATGCTGTATAACCGTGATCAGCAGAATTGTTTGGTTTGTAGTGATCATATTTTGCTTCACTGAATGCTAAAATAATTTCTTAAATATATTTATAGCTTACTTAGAAAGCCAGCTAAATTACAGTAGTTTTGGAACATTCTACTCTAGTGAATAATATATTTTTTGTTTTAAAAAATGCATATTTCGGAGCAACGTGAATTGTTTTTTGGACACCCAACAAAGCTTACAGAAGATCATCTGTTTTTTGCTTGAATGCAAATGAGCTCAAGTACAAGGATGTACAACAAATCTTTGTGTGTATCTTATTTGTTACATAATTTTAATAAAGTTACCAGAATGTAAAAATTAGAAACTTCAAACTTAGGCTAACAAAACTTCAGTAAAATAAAATGTCTCAAATTTCACAAGATGAGCATATGTATAACTTGACATCTCACAATCAGTTGCTCTTAAGTTAGCTTTACAAGAATCAGCTAATGAGCTTCTGATGTGAACAAACCAGTCTTGTTGGAATCATGATTACACTAGGTATATTATTTTCATCACAACCATAATGAGGCGGAGTAGTAGAAAATTTAATATCTTATTTTGTTAGCTAAATAGTACCCGTTTGGTTAACATCGTGATTACACTATATAGTACCTGTTTAGTTAACATGGTGATTACACTATATAGTACCTGTTTGGTTAACATCGTGATTACACTAAATATTACCTGTTTAGTTAACATGGTGATTACACTATATAGTACCTGTTTAGTTAACATGGTGATTACACTAAATAGTACCTATTTAGCTAACATGGTGATTACATTAAATAGTACCTATTTAGCTAACATGGTGATTACACTAAATAGTACCCATTTTGTTAACATCATGATTAGATTCGATGACGAGGAACCCACTTTGAGACTAATAATGGTTGGAGACCTGTTAGGTACCTGATGATGACAAAACCTTGTCGAAACATTGTACATTTGCTGTTATGTTAAACTTATATTAAAGTTTTTCTTCATTACCCATTCAAGCCATCTCTAACCATCATGATTAGGTTAAATGTAATGTTTTTATAACATTATGATTATACTAAACAGTACGGGGGTGGCCAATTCATATTGTCCAATGCCCAGGAAAACAAGATATGTGTCATGAACAAGTTTTACCATTATATCTTACCTATTAGAAAAGTGCTTTTTTTTATTTATTACAAATCTGAAATTACTGTTTTATCGCCATTATAAGACTAAAATAGCAGTGTTACACTTGAAATATGGGTGATCAATCATATCAGTTATTTGATTAATTTACCCAGCTCTAGATTTAAAGGAAAAAAATACAATAAGCCCTGTAAACCAACTGTCAATGATAATGGTGTAGTCAGCTCTTTACCACGCACACGCAAAAAGAAGACAGAAAGAAAAAGAGGTAATCAGTCTCACAGAACAGCCTCTTGGCCGTGATTACTTCTGAATGAAAGCCAGTCCCGAGTATAACCAGTTTCCAAAATGTATTGTGAGAATTGCCTGAAATATCCTACAAAATCACAGTTGAAAAAGGAAAGAAAGATTTCTTGAATGGATGTGATTAGTTCCATATTGAGCCAATCAGAGCACACAAAACCAGCAAAGCTTACATGGCATATGTGTCAAGGTAGTCATGTGATAAAAAAAATAAGATAATGCTGCTATGGCCACAGTGGATACTCTCAGTTCCATAGCTTATACTTGGGAGGCAATCCCTTATTGTGATTAGTTGTGGATGTGATTAGTTCCATATTGAGCCAATCAGAGCACACAAAACCAGCAAAGCTTACATGGCACATGTGTCAAGGTAGTCATGTGATAAAAAAAATAAGATAATGCTGCTATGGCTGCAGTGGATACTCTCAGTTCCATAGCTTAGTCTTGGGAGGCAATCCCTTATTGTGCAGACAATGCACAAACTAAAGGAGGTGGAAAAGAACAGATTGACAGTGTTGTTTATCAATTCATACTTAATTGCTGAACAAGGTAAAACTCTATCAAATATAGAATTCTAATTCAGAGCAATGGAGAAGGCTGATGTAAATGTAGAAGACAATTACACCAACAAAAAAAAGCCTCTGAGTTTATTAAGTGTGAAGCAGAAGTCCCTAGATGTGGCAATGAGGAAATAGTTAGTGGAATTTAGATCATCTGTATTGTAGCCGAGAGAAATATACAGATAATACTATCATCAAACAGAAAACTATGGTGGTTAGTGTTGTAAATGGAAGAAAGCCATATACTTTTTTAGTAAATCTCATTCCATTGAGGCATGTTCATGCATTAGGTGTCCCAGATGGTATTGTTAATAGAATCAAGAAGTTAACTTTGGATTTGGCAGATCTGAAGGCTCTTAAAAAACAGGTCCAACATTAATAACAATTAATCTTAATAGTGCAGCTATTATTATTGGCTCAAACAGCGAGGTTGCAGCACTGCTATAAAAAAATAAATCCATTTCTACACCCACTCCACTGTGTGAGTCAGAAACTTCAGTTGAAAATTCTTGATGCAGTGAAAATCTTACATTAGACTTCTCAATTGTGAGGTTTATAGATGAAAATATTGCCCACATCATTGGTGTTAAACAGATATAATGGATCTCAAGTAAAGCATGAACTTTAAATGTCATCCATTAAAACCTTCAGGTCATGGTTCTGTATCTGAGTCAAGTTGGTAGTGAAAATGGTGACTTCAGTGAAGAACTCCTTTGCCTTAGTTCCAGCTCACTAGTGACAATTTAATCAAAATGCTCTACAGTTTAAGATATCCTAGAACTAATATCACATCTTTCAGTCTAATGACCTACTGTTGTTACATGTCCAGCCTGCACTATAATCGTGTGCTTTAAGGTTCATAGAACTGAAAAAAGGCTTAGGTGTGCACATGCACCAGGTTCTTAAGATGTACCACCCGGAGGGATTATTCAGCTAATGCTTTGTTTTGATAACATCGTGATTACACTAAAAAGTACCTTGTTTTGTTAGAATCATGATTACATTGAACAATACCCTCTTTTGATAACATCATGATTATGCTAAACATATGTTGTTTTGTTAGCATCACAATTATGCTAAAAAGTATGTTGTTTTGTTAGCATCATGATCATGCTAAGCAGTACTTTGTTTTGTTAGCATCACAATTACACTAAAAAGTATGCTGTTTTGTTAATATCAGGATTATACTATGCAGTGTCTTGTTTTTTTTTAGCATAATGATTACACTTAGCAGTACCTAGTTCTGTTATCATCGTGATTACACTCAACAATACCCTCTTTTGATAACATCATGGTTACTACACTAGGTGGTAATTTATTTTCATCATAACTGCAATAAAACTAAATAGTACAAGATCTGACAACACCTTATTTTGCTAGCATCATGGTTACACTAAACAGTACCTTGTTTTAATAGCATCATTACATTATACAGTATCTTACTTTATTAACAATGTGATTAGGCTATACACAATGTTTTGTTCTGAAAACAGCATCAGGGCTGAACCCTGTTATTACATTAACTTACTGTTGATCACATTTTGGAAGTAATATAATAAATTCGATGACGAGGAACCCACTTTGAGACTAATAATGGCTGGAGACGGCTTAAATGGGTAATGAAGAAAAACTTTAATATAAGTTTAACATGACAGCAAATGTACAACGTTTCGACAAACCCTTCAATGATGAC